GAAAACAAAACTCTTTGTGTCCTTACTCGACTTTCTATATTTCTCTTGAGTAAAGCCTTCAAATGAGCATTGTTCATTGCTGCCCTCTGCTGACTAATTAAAACACAGAAAACAAACAAACAACACAAACACAGATAGCAGATAAAGGAGGAAAAGCCCCCACTGGAAGTGAATGAGCAAAGAAATACCGCGCGGCCCACGCAAGCGGCGATTCTGAAAGGAAAAGCCATGTCAGGAGTGAAATTCAGTATGTAATAAAAAGCATCATCTCTCAATCTGAAGATATGATGGAAGCTGAGCCATTTCCGCCTGTTCTAAAGATTTAGGACCAAAGAAAAAGTCTCTCTCTCACGAAGATTTCCTCCAGCTCTTTGCTGCTTCTGATGAATGCGTGCACTGATTTTTCTGGTTTAGACTGCATGGAGTGCTGCAAAAGAGAGAGAGACAACAAAGTCTTTATATCAATCCTCCTACTGTGTATACATCTATCATACAGTATACTGACTAGGCTAGGATTATTCAGCACTATGGTACACTGCAACAGAACAATAGATAGCACTTATAGAAAACTTTCAATTTGTTGATTGTCTGTGAGCTAAAAAATTGTCTGTAACTGTAAACAGTTGATCATCTTAAAATCCTGCTGTAAATCAGCCGTTGATTTAATCTTTATTTGGCTATTTAAATTCACTTTATTGTGATTTACTGTACTGTTTTATTGGCTTAGAAGTGTAACTGGCTTTATCTGGCAATGTGGGTTTGATTTCCCCAAATGATATTACATTTGCTTGGAAATGTGACATAATCAAGTGAGTGTTATGAATGTACTGTAAACTGAGCTCGTGTAACACATTAGTGACAGCAATATAAAATTAAAAACTAATGCTTGTCTTGATGGATGGGCCCAATACCAAATGTCTGCCTTGGCAAAGGAAATGGCCCTTGTGTTAAGTGACTCTTATACAACTATTTTTAGTGCTATGTAAATCACCGATAATTTGGCCAGTGATGGATCTCCGTCATTCTGTGCCTCCTGTCATTAAATTCTGATATGTCATTATGACCATCAGGCAACTGTGACAACTGAAATATAGCAACTCATAAAACCGAGTTCTCTGTAGCTTTGTACAGACTTTAGTACTTAATGTGAAAGCAGTGAAAAAAAAAATCATAATTTGCAGCCTACAATTTTTATTGACTGATTAATAAAAAAAAATCTTAAAAAATATGGCAAAAGCTGTGAATTAGGTAGTCACTTTTCCAACTTTTTCCAACATAAACGAACTCTACGCTTGCTGTACAAGTAAGCCCCACATACTTAATAACACAATCTCGATTGCACTGACATGCGCAATATAATCCAGTAAATGCTGCCCACATAGAGATTACTAAATTATTGTTTATGCAGAACAAAGTCACAAATATACAGATACTGTATATCTTGTACGTGCAGGCAGTGATTCCAATCATTCTACACCCAGATTATACACTCCTCAGTCCAAAACAGACCTTCTAAGATGGCTCTGTCTATGTGTTAAAAAAGGAGACCTATATTGGTGCTATCTTTGATACAATCGGAGGAACCCCTACATTTGTCTGGACAGAATTAACAAAATGTGGGCTAATGGGCTGATGAGAATTTTGCGCGCATACTTCATGCTTAAAGTGTCTCTGCAGAGACACCTGCGAGTATTGTTGGTGTCTCTGCAGAGCAATGCGTGGACCATTGTCAACACATCGGCTTAAGAACTTGCAGTCCCAGTCAAGGATGGCAGGTTTTGTACAATGAAAGAAGCTGGAATCTATTTCTCTCTTTCTCAGGAAAGAATTGTTCATTATAATTTGGTCCACAAGTTTAAAAAAAAACAAACTGTATTAATCAATATGTGATTGAAGTGTAGACTTTCAGCATTAATTTAGGGGGTTTAACAAAACTTTTGCAGAAACTGTTTACAGACATTTTTATACATAGTTCACAATTGTTAGAAGCTCAATCATGACTGGACAAAGTAACATAATTTCAAAAATAAAGATTGTTTTGACTGCCTGACATCTGGAACCCATGAACTTCACCAAATGCTGTTTCCTGCTTTCTCTCCTTGCCTTTACTGGAGCAAACGTCAGTTACTTCTTGTTTGTGGGTCTCTCTGAATTCAGTCTTGTATTTAATAACTGAAAAGCACACTCTGTTGGGTTGAGATCAGGTGACAGTCTTGGCCGCTTTTGGAATAACCCATTTCTTTGCCTTGAGAGCTCTTGGGTTGCTCATGCTTTGGGTCATTATCCATTTTCACTGTGACGCGCTGTCTGATCAGTTTCGCAGCATTTAGCAGAATCTGAATAGAGCGTACAGTCCTGTATACTTCATCCTGTTATCAGCAGTCACACCAGAGGTAAACATACTGATGATGTTCTGTCATTCAATGATGTGGTATGCATCAGATCATGAACTCTCTTTTCTACCCTTTGTATCTCCATTCACAAAGGTGTCTTTTGCCTCCTTGATAGTATTTATGAGTTGGTTAAATGTTGTGAAGTTGATTTTCTTAACCATGGAAATAATTCTGTCATTATCCACTTAAGTTGTCTACTGTGCTCTTTCAGGCTTTATGGTGTTGTGTCATAGTTTGTCATAACATTCATTCCTTTCAAGAATGCAGCAGATTGTGGATTTGGCCACTCCTGAAGTTTTTCCTTTTTCTCTAATAGGTGTATTTTGTTTTTGCAGTTTAATGATGGGCTTCCTCGTTGGCATCTCTTTGAGCATCATATTTAAATTGAATGTGAAAAGCTATCTGTATTTGAAATCAGCTACAGATATTATACATGCCCGATTTGTCATAAAATAGCAAGAAAACGGATCTCACTTGGCCATGAATCTGCTTGTAACTCCAAAACTGATCACACAGTGCTTCACAGTGCAAATGGGTAATGACACAAATCATACTGCAAAAGCATCCCAAGAATTTCTCAAGGCAATTAAATCCAAAGAAGTAACAAACGTGAGACTCCAAGGTAAACTTACGCAGACAGACCACACAGCAAAATAAGGGTAGAACACGACACTGACAAACTGAAACACAGGGCTTAAATACATAGAGGGAGCAATCAGGGAATGGGCAACAGGAGGGAAACACAGCTGGCGCAAATCAGGCCTAACGAAACAGGAGAAGCAAAACCAGGAAACAGGAAACATAACACAGACTGAACTTAAAGACACAGACTCACAGGCAGGCAGTACAACAGAGGGAACAGAGACGTAAATCATAAGACAGAACTCTAACAAAGAAACCAAAGACTAGAAATGATAAATAATATAATAAACTCAAAACTCTGGGTCAACGACCCAGGCATCCTGCGAGCTTGAGGGTCCTGCGCAGTATCTTAGCTGTTCCTAGGACTACAGTCTTCTGGACAGAGATCTCAGAGGTTTTTCCTGGGATCTGCTGGAGCTACTTGCCTAGCTTGGGAGTCACTGCACCTAGCGCCCAGATTACCTCTGGGACCACCCACTGTTACCATCATGCTCCACATCTTCTCAAGCTTGTCTCTTAGCCCCTGGTACTTCTCCAACTTTTCTTGTTCCTCCTTCCTGATGTTGCTGTCATTCGATAAAGCCATGTCTATCACAGCAGTCATTTTCCTCTGCTTGTCCACCACCACTATGTCCGGTCCATCACCATTTTGTCCGCCTGTATCTGGAAGTCCCACAGGATCTTAGCTCGGTCATTCTCGACCACCCTAGAGGGTGTCTCCCATTAAGACCTCAGGACTTCCGGTCCATATTCGGCACAGATGTGTCTGTATACGGTGCCGGCCACTTGATTATAGCGTTCCATGTTTCCCCTGCCTCCTAGCATCTTGCACCCTGCTGTTATGTGCTGGATTGTCTCAGGGGCATCTTTACACAGTCTGCACCTGGGGTCTTTCCTGGAGTGGTAGACCCCTGTCTCTATGGATCTTGCATTTAAAGCTTGTTTCTATCCTGTCTTTCAGTCCAGCCACTAGTAGGATGGCAGGATTTGTGCATGTCAACAACCTCCTCTATCTGCCAGAGGTACATACCGTGCAGGGGCCTGTCCTTCCATTTTGGCTCCTCTTTCTTGGGTTTTTGCTGCCTGAAGTATTCACCCAGCCAATAGAGCAACTTTTCAATTGTACATTCTAAATTGTCAGTTTATGAAAATGAATGCAGAGACACCCACTGAAAAGCAGCAAATGAAGAACGCTCTCTGGTGATGTCTAAACTTCAGGCACTCACTGAGAGGAAAGGATTTTCATTTAAGTATTGAAAGAATACTTATATTTAAAATTATGATTGTTTGTCAACTTATTTGACCTCTGAGAATGGGGGACTGTAGCTGTGAATACATTATCAGCAGACCTTTAAGAACTTCTATATATGTGAAAAGGTCTTGTGAAAAATGTGAATGTAAATTACAAGTATATTTAAAACCTCTAAACTATCTTTGTTTTTGTTTTTTAAACTTGTTGCAACTTAAGTTAACTATAATGCAGCAAAAAACTATTGGTGTAGTTCATGTAGGGCTGCATTGCCCACACTTACTTAAACAGGTGATACTAATTACTTTAATGAGTGTTCACAGCCTGAATTGTTGTTATGTACATATTCTTTGATGTTAACATAGATGATATGGAAAAAATCATAAATGAACGACCTAAAGTAATAAAGAGCTACCAAATTTTCACGGAAGAATACTTTATTCTTCTTTTTTCTTTTTTCTTTTTTTTTTTGTCTTTTTAAGTTTAAAGCCTTCAGGAACAGCTTACTATGCGATCGCATTTGTAGTTTTTATGTTTTGCTATATACGAACTTCCTAAAATACATTTTCCTAAAAACAAAGACTCAAACAACGTTTTAAATGCGATGTTTTTTATTATACATATTGTTTTTAATCACCTCGGCAGGGCAAGCACCGCTTCACGTCCGTTTTAAAAGCAACCGGAACCTTTAACTTGTGTTTCTTCCGTGTCCGTTTTCATGCGTACCGTTGGACTTTTTTGTTTACTTAGCAACAGCCTAGATGTACCAGTATGATGTGTGACGATAAGTGTCATTGTTTCATTCTAATCTTATTCAATACACTGCATTTAGCTGGTTAAACATGACGGTCACAGCTTGATAATGAGGTAAAAGCTGCCATATCCGGCTACCGTTTTTTTCTAAGCTGGCGAGACTTAGCTAAGGGTAAGCAGGTCGATCTGTTCTTCGAAAGATGTCTTTTCAGGAGTCACCCCGTCCTTCTGAAGAGGATGAGGCTTTCTACATGCAGTGCAGAGCCGCGTACCTGGCTGTGTTCAGATCTAGTTTGACAAATATCACTTCGAAAAAGCACTTATGCCGTGGTAAGCGAAGACAACTCACTGATTGTTAGCTAACAACAAATAAACCTTTGTAAGCAGTTCATTGTGATTGTGATGTGTAGTAAGTAACAAGTATTTATCGCTGAGTTTCACTATAATGGGCCACTTTTCTCTGTGTTCTATACTTATACTATGAACAGAAATGATTGAAAGTAGAAAATGGGAATTTCCCCCAAACTCTGAGACCAGGATGACCAGATCCCAACAACCTAAATGTGGGGCAAACATTAACAATGACGGGAGGTTTTTCATCGCTAATTTAAAGATAAAAATACAGGATTGGTGTTTGCCATGTAAAGGCCAATTGTGTTTGAAGTTCTCTTAAGTAAAAGTTAAAATTTGCTCTTATAGCCTCATTCGACAGTCTTTATATACACTCTAATATTTTATTAGGGAAGCATCTATAAGCATCTATAAACTGGCACACTTATTTCTTCTGTCGCGGGGGGTGGGGGGGCTGAAGCCTATCCGAGCTGTCTTAGGGCAAGAGGCAGGGTACTGCATGTCTGTGGACTGTGGGAGGAAGTCGGAGTAACCGGAGAGATCCCATGCAAACAACAGGAGATCATGCAAATGCCACACAGAAAGACCCTGGCCTAATGGTGGAATTGAATTCAGGTGCTATCCACTTTTTAGCAATAATGACCAATTATGACACACATATTCTCTGTGACTTCACACCATATTTCTCCCTCTGTTCAAACTGAAAATTCAACCAAAGCTGTGATTTAAAAAAAAAATTTTTTTTATGTTTTTATTTTTGGTGAACTAAAACTTGTAACTCTTTGATGAGTATGGCATTATACTGGCTAACCTTCTGACTATAAAAAAACAACCCTTCCATTCATGTGCATTTGGTAAAATCCAGTATGGAGAAAAGTGCATGTCCTGTAGAACCAGTTAAAATATGGGACAGGGGGTCAGGGAACAGAAATGCTGTGGCATTTCCACTTAAAGAAGAACATCTGCTCATCCTATTTGGAAGGATGGCCAAATTTGAAAATAAACTTCACCTTAAGTGTTGAATTTAATTATAATTTCTATTGAAGTTGAGTCGGCATCAAATTTTTTTGAGGTAAAAGGTTGCATATCTCACTGTAAAATACTGTCGGTTCTATTCATCTGAACGATTTCCTTGTCCTGATTACCATCAGGACAATGTGGATACAGGGGGTTTCATTTATTTATTTATTTATTTGTGTAAACATTTGTTTCCTATTCCTCCTTTCAGTTCTTCAACAAGCTGGTAGAAATCCATCCAGTGCCACTCTTAATAAATACTGGACTGCTACAACATCTAAGCTGAACTTTGATGACTTTTGTGAGATTCTCAAGCATGAGGAGAAAACTGAGGAGAGTGAGCTGATGAGAGTTTTTAAAAAGATGGATGTGAACGGTGACGGCTACATCACACACAGTGAACTGGAGAAGGCCTTAATCACTGTGAGTAGCCTAACACTTTGGATTAGATTTTCATCAAGTGGTTATACTTTAGTTATAAAGTGAATATGGTATGGTATATGGTTATATAAGTTTGTTATAGATGTCATTTTTGAGTTAACTGGCCACTTCATTAGGTACAACTCCCAAAAGGTTGATTCTGTTCATCTGGAATTAGCGTTTTCAGTGGGAGAAATGTTTCGTCACTCATCCAAGTGACTTCTAGAGACTGAACAGAATCAACCTTTTGGGATTTACTTACCTGGATGGTTGAGGATGCATCAAGACATTAGGTACAACTGTTCAGCTACTCGTTACCTCAAATATCTTACTAGCAAATCACATGGCAAACGAACTGAAGCATATTTGCTTGCTCTTCTAGAGAGGAGAGAAAATGACAAAAGAGGAGGTGAATGCTATCTTCTCACTGGCTGACATCAACAAGGATGGCAAACTGCACTACGCAGAAGTAAGTGTAGACATATGAAATGACTTTTGCTGATTTCTATGTAATTATACTTTATAAACAGCTTATCTTAAAAGCCCTTGTCCCTGTTTCCTGTATCACATATTGTACACACATACTGTACAGTGCAGTCGTGCAGCCTTAAAGAAACATTGAAATTATCAGGTTTATACTGAATTTTCAGTCTTCCATCATTATTCTTATTGCTTGCTTATACTGGACTTTTGTTATGGATACACTATATCTTAATATGCCATTTACTCAGAACATTAATGAGTAACACAAAATTCTAATTCTTCCTCATTTGTTCCACATTCGTGTTTATTTAATACGTCTTCTACTCATTCTTAACATTGCCAAACACCAGACTGTAAACATTCATCCCGCTGCTTGTTGCTTCAAAGTATCGCTCATGCATCATCCTCTTACTCTTGCTTTCCTGCTGCTGTCAGTTCTGCAGATTGTTTGCGTCTACAGTAGAGCAGTGTCAAACAGCTGCTTTGGAGAGACTTGAGGCTGATGCCAAGCTGAAGAGACTGAACTTTGGCAGTCAATCATACAGCCCGCCAAAGAGCTCCGTGTCATCAGCATCACCAGCAACTCAGCGGGTGGACTCGGACACGACACCAAAGAAAGGTGCAGGATTCGACCTTCTAGCGAGAGCTAAAAGAAAAAAGGGATATCAAAATTTTGGTTTAAAAAAACAACATCAACTATACAACAGTTTTGTGCAAAATTTTCATATATTTGGATGCACACCCATACACACAGATTTCCCATTTGCTCTGTTACTGATCGATTTTTCACTCACTCCATGACAAATCACCTCATTAAGACAGTCCATACATCATAATAGCCACACAATTAAGGTGGCCTGTTTGGAGGGAGGAGACTGTAAAGTGTTTTGATTTGAGTAATCATTTCTGCCATTAAGAGATTGACATTGGCTCTGTCAACTCTGAGGAAAACTCCAGGCGTTCAATCACTTTTGAAATCCTACGTGATTTTTTTTTTCTTTTCTTTTTTTCCGAAGTTGGTAATTTCCAACTTCCTAAACTACTATTTCTTACAAACATGAGAAATGTGTGCTTCTCCAGCCACTTTTTTTTTTATTAAGTGGATGTTAAACGCTCACTTTTTCACTTTAGAAGCACTGTGTCGAAAAGAACCGAGGTCCAGGATGAGCGAGCCAAGGACAGGCTCACAGTGGGAAGATAGATGGGGTTGATTTAAGTGGTCAGTCCATGTTCATGTTATTGATTTGGAGGATTCCACCACTTCTCACTGGGGAGATGATGAGGGATTAGAGAGGAGGCCCAGTCCACCACTGCTGCAAAAACAAATGAGCTTCCAGATAGTAGTCGGGATTATCACATTATTGCGCCTCTCCCATGTATTGATTTATACGCGTTACATTTTAACAAGGCTCTGACACAAGATGCTACGTGATCGCACATGTTGAATGGGTTATTCTTCCAGCTCGAAAACAATTTGGACTGCTCATTTGGTCTTAGATTTGTCAGTAGAAACCAGAACTGCCCCTCGATATACATTTTAATCATATCAGACATGGGTAATTTTGACATATTTTTTTTCTCTTTACCAAGAACTGCTGAGAGATGATTATCTGTTCACTCTGCTGAAGAAAAAACTACCCCAACATTCAATGTGCGCTCACATGGAAGCTTTTGTTGGGGGGGTTACGTTTTAATGCATCTGTAGACCGCCTAGAATAGTCCCAGCAAAATAGATCTGTGACAAACACAATGACAGTGGGTCTGTTTATTTCTTTGCTACGGTAATTTGCTCATAAGTCCGTCTCATTCCTTCGCATCTCGATTTCCCAGACTTCGAAACAATCAGACCACTCATTAGCAAATTGACATTTTCGAGCTTCAATTAGTCTTCAAGGAAAAAAAAAAAAGTTGCGAGAGAAATAGATTTGAAAAGGAGCCGTTACACCACTTGTGCTTTCAAATGGGTCTGTAATTAATTAATTCAACTGAGCTTGAACTCAAGACCACACTTTGCCAGAAGCCAAATGCAAGGTAGCCATGTTCGCATGAACTTGGAAATAGATTTTGGATAAGAATTAGGGAAGGCACAGGCGTGTGTGTGTGTGTGTGTGTGTGTGTGTGTCCATGAGAATTTTCACGTGTCTGGCCTGTGTGTGTGTTGCAGACAACCGCTCATCCTCCCGGCCTTCTTCAGCTCGCAGCAGACGTTCGTCTCTGTCAAGCTCAATCACAATGACATCCAGCAGCACTAAAGCCAACAAATTCCCAGAGCCTTCAGGTTTACAGGTAACCCCCTTCAGTCGTTTTGACTTCATAGCTACATCTAATGAATAACTTCATTATTGGTTAACCTGTCAGTTTTTCCCAGAGCCTCTCAGTCTATTACACTGGCTTGTACACTTGGAACCAGAGAAGAGTGTACATTTGTGTTTAATTTAACGAAATGAAATAATTAAGTGATAATGAAAGTCATCATCAATCAGTTTGTGCTTTAAATAAGAGTCCATCCATTGATATCACTGTTTTAAAACCACATTTTACCAGCATTTGATTAGAGAAAACTTAATTTAATGAGAAAATGAACAATATCTGTAGATGATTTGGAGTTTATGCATTGCTGTTAAGTTTGAATCACAGACCAAACTGGAAATATTAAGTTCGTGGGGCCCTTGTGCGAGGGACCCCATTATAAGAAGCTCTACAGCGTTGCCTGGTGTCATGCAGTATTTTTGATGGGCAAATTTAGCCCAGGGCAGACAGATATACACTGTATTGATCTCACACTCTTTGTTTTCACTCTTTCTGGCTTAACCTCAGCTGGTTTGCTTTACAGCAAAAGGGGCGGTGGGGGTGGGGAGTAAATATATAAATAAAACTAACAACCCCCTGCTCCATCTCTCAGGTGCGAGCGCGGTGTTGAGATTGGAAAGGGCCAGACAACCTCGAGGTAAAAGAATGGTTGTCCAGAGATTACCTCTGAGGGGAAGTTCTGCTCGCCATATTGGCTTTTATATTGCCACAGGCTGATGACTGGGAGGTGGTGGGTGGAGGGTAGGATGTGTTTTTGTAACTGTGTGAATGTGTGTGTGGATGTGTGTGTGGGATGCAAATATGTCCTCATGAATAGAAACCCAGCCAGTAAGGATTATTCTTACTTATTCTGAGTGTTTGTGTTTATGTACAGGTTACAAGTGTAACAAAATGAGAAGGCTGCGGTTTAAATGCTCGTGTGTGTATGCGTGTGTAGTTGTGTTTGTGGCTGGTTCGGTGTCCTGTGACCCTGTGTGAAACAGTAAATCAGACCTGTGGCCGGAGCAGGTGACAGCGCCTGTATTAGTCTGCAGGCTGACCCTCTCTCTATGGGGGCATTAATTCTGATGTCTTTAAGCAGTGGATGGGAGCCTGTGGCATTTCCCCTCATTTAATATTGTCTGGACAAACCTCTGAAGTGTTATGGTTTGATCTTTTATGCCTCTCAGCCCAAGATAAATACTTTGAGAAAATAGCTTTTCTCTAAAGGAGTGACATGCTCCGTCTTTATGGTACTTTCTTTGTTTAACTTGGTGATTTATTTGTCCACTAAAAGGATATATAGCCTATTCCAGACGCGGTTGGCCCTCAATGCCCTCTTACCGTGTGTCCACACCAACTGTGTTTTCATTTAATGTGTCTCCAATGAGTGGAATGAAAACTTCCTCGCGCTGATGTTCCTGTTCAATTTCAAATTATGACCTCATTTCGGTTGTGCTGCCAGAAATAAGAACAACAGGATTTCAAAAGGAGAGAAATATTAGGATTCATAAATTTTGCCAAAGTAGCCTCTTGATAGTTTTGAATGACCGCTGGCCCAAGATTGAAAAGTCTGTATTTATCAAAGTTAAATGGACTCCAATTTGCCATATCAAGTCCTAGAGGAAGATTTAGTTGAGGCTGCGGCAGAAAGGCAGTGGGACTCTGCTGCCCTCCTCTGGATCAGCACGTGTATAACGTGGGTTTTCATGCTGCCGAGCTGACATTAGCTGGGTAATAATGGATATGCCCCCATGAAGATTGGAGTGGTAATTATCTCAAAGGCACTTTCTGTTAATCAAGCGAGCTGCTTAACTGTTATGACTGACTGCTTTATTCACTTTGTCCCTATCACGAGATCAGTCCTCCTGTTAAACAGGAGCTGCACATTAGTTTTGGTTTCTGCTGAATGAATGTGTTTTGTTGTCAACCAGGAAAACTGTGTCCAGATTGTGTTGAGATCTAAGATGGGGTCACACGTAGTAAAACTTAATAGCATACAAGTAACTAAGGAAAACTGTACACATAGTATTTATGCAACTGTAACAACTGTTATTCCTCAATATTATATTAATGTCTGAGTCAGAACAGGAATATTTTCCATTTTTCTAGGGTTGGAATCACAGTTTCATGAAAGGCTGCTTCTTTTTGGAAGACGACGGGAGTATCAGCGCTCTGCAGTACCAGCTCCACATCCCCCACACGACAACCGTCTACCTAACCATCCAACCACTCGGCCTCAGCCACAGACCTGGTTGGTACTTAAACTGCCGATACAGAGGAAATGTATCTTTTTAGAGAAAATATTGTGTCATTTTGAATTTGATCTCAAAAAGCTGGAGCAGGCATCTGTTTACCGCTGTGTAGCATCACCTCTTCTTTTAACAACAGTCTGTAAACATGCGGGAACTGAGCAGAGCAGCTGCTGGACTTTTAGGAGAGGATGTCGTTCCATCTTCTCTGATTTAGGATTCTAGCTGTGCAACAGTCCTGAGTCTTTTTGTAGAAATATTTTTTTCTTTCATGATGCCCCAAATGTTTTCACTTGGTGAAAAGTCTGGACTGCAGACAGGCCAGTTCTGCACCCGGGTTCTTCTACTGTGAAGCCGTGCTGTTGTAATAGAAGCAGTTTGTGGATTACCATTTTGTTGCTGGAATATGCGATGCTTTCTCTGAAAAAGATGTCAGGATGGGCGCATGCGTTGCTCTAAAATCTGCTTTTCAGCATCGATGGTGTCAGTTTAGCCTGTGTTTGTAGATAGTGAACTATGTTCGCAGTGATTTCTGAAAGGGTTCCTGATTTCCACACCAGTGCCACTTGAGGGCCTGAAGCTCACAGACATCGAATGCTGATCTTAATCTCTAATTCTCTTAATCTTTTGATGATATTATGAAAGACAGATTATGAGATATTCAAAACCATTTCAACTTTATGTTGAGGAACATTATCCTGAAATTCATCCACTATTTGTAGACGTGAACTTCTGCCCATCTTTTCTTCTGAGAAACTCTAAGATGCTCTTTTTATACCCAGTCATATTACTGGCCTGTTGTCAGTTAACATAATTAGTTGTTCCTCCAACTTAGGACCGGTTACTTCTCTAGCCTTTTGTTCCTCTGTCACAACGTTTTTGAGACATGCTGCTGCTGTCAAATTCAAAATGAGCTGATTTTTTTTTTTTAAATGGTCCATTTTGTCACTTTAAACATTTCTACAGTGAATGAAATATAGGTTCATGGGATTTACTAATCATTGCATTCTGTTTTCATTTAGAATTTGCATAGTGTCCCGTCTCTTTTCTTTTGAGTTGGGGTTGTGTATATTACTATAAGAAAGGGACAGGGCCATATTTAATCTCTCACTGGAATACCCCGATGGTACTTTGGAGTAATGCAGGGGATAACGACATAATGTCATGTTTTGTAGTTCATCTGAGGTTGTATTTACCTCATTTTTTAGACCTGCTGGTGAGGTTATTTTTATTATCCCGATATATAAAAACTGAAAGAGGTTGCACTTTATTTTTCAGACAACTTTAACTGGGTGAAGAAACATTTCAAAGGGGGTGTACATTATTGAACAGTGTTTGAGAACCACTGTTTGAGCTGAGTGGTTTTAGATGTTCCCTGTGATGCTGTAACATAAAGTATTTTAGAATAGAAATCACAAAGAAGATTTACTTTCCTTTTGCTGTTTAACAATCTGTTACATCGTGTAGCATCAGGTCAGACTGAATTTCAGCTCAGTGGAAGATCATTTATTAGGAAGGCGCACATCAGTTTATTTGTTTTGGCTCAATCAGGAGACTGACTGGATTAATGTGGGCTGCAAAAAGTCTTCGAGGAATGTAAAATCTCATCGGTCCATTTCATTTTGTACAATCAGAAAAAAACGTTGAAAATCTTGGGTAAGTTGATCTTCTTTGAACCCTCCCTTATTGCTTGTAGGGTAAAAATCTGTGCTGAATTAAATAGTCTGTAGAGCTAAAATGTTAAAGTCCTGTGTAAAATCTTTATGCATTCATGTGGTTTTGCTCTAATTTTCAGACAAGTCCTCAGCATGGATGACAGTGGACACAGCACTTTTTGTCATGTCAGCTGGTGAAACTAAAGAAGACACAAATTTAGTGTGTTTCACTGAGTCAAAAGACAAAGAAGTAAGTTTGGCTGTCTTAACAGGTCCGTATTATTAAATCAGTCCCATTGGGACTTGATTGATATAAAAGCCAGACCCAGATCCACTGATATCATAAAAGCTGGAATCATTTGGGAAGCTGAAATGTGATGATATTGTATGCCAGGATATTTTTGGTGTTGTTTGTTTACTGTGCAACCTCTTTTTTTTTTTTCTATCTCTGTAGAAGTATATTTGGAAAGGGGAGCTGAATGCTGGGACATACCACCTGCTTCCCTTCACCAGTGGCTGCAGGTTAAAGAAAAGGAGCAGAAAGAGCCCTTCTGGTAAACCCGTGGAGTTGTTCTACAGGACTGACACAGAAGAACTAGACCTGACCAGGGAGTTCAGGTGAGGCTGCCTCAGTTTTACAGTGTTTGACTGGTGAGAATTTCAGTGTTTACTAATCTATAAAATGTTTATAAAGCTCAGTGGATCCACACTGGGATAAAAGTGTGCCGTGCTTTGCTACCTCTGTTCTTCTCACAGGACCTGAATGAGTGAGGACATCTGAAAAAGTTGAAGTTGGCTGCCTGCAGGCCTGCTGATATTTCTGTGTTGCTCTGTTTCTGCCACAGGGAGGTGCTGTCTGACATTTTTGAGATTATAGACCTTGATGGCAATGGTTTGCTTAGCCTGGAGGAGTACAATTTCTTTGAGCTCAGGACCAGCGGAGAAAAGTGTGACAAGGATGCCTGGGCCGTCTGCAAAGGTAAAAATTATGAAATTAATATGAAATGAATTGGAGGAGAAGGCGCTATTACAGTATTATATTGATATTACGGTGATATTAAAGCTGTCTTCTACCTCCTTGTGGTAACAGAAAACTTTGATATGAGAAAGAACCAGCTGACACGACAGGGATTCATGGAGCTGAACCTGATGGAGGCCACTGAGAAAGATGGAGACCCTGCAGACATGTGGGTCACGCTGGAAGCTATGGGTTACAACCGTATGCTGGAGCTGGTAGAGGTAGGTTTGCATATATGGTTTTAGTCAGAATACATAAACATACATCCTTGGCATACATGCAATAGCCTGATATCAGGCACACATCATGACTACTTACTACATAAACCCTCCCTCCCGCTCCACCAGGCCTGTCCATTCCAGATAGACGTATACTGTGAAAGCACTCAGCCATCCATCCAGCCCCTCAGCATGGATTCAGGGCCCAAGCTTCTGAACCAGGCGCTCCAGAAGTCCATCACAGCTAGAACAGGGGCCAAAGCACTGAGGGGACACGACAATGTGTTCATCTACACCTACAAAGGGGAGCACAGGATTTCCTCCCTCATTACCAACAAGGTAGAATACAAAATTTGTGTAGGAGGAATTATAAGAATGTCACAGATAATCCCTTAAATAAAAATGGTGTTCGTTTAGAGCATCAACGTGATTGATACTTGTATTTGCCAAACATCTGCAGTGGATAGCACTACCCAAACCTTACTGTCTTAATACAGTCAACTGCTATAGAGACGCACTATTCATTTGTAATTGTTATGCAGCAGCAGTGTCCTTTCTCATAGCAACGAGAGCGACTCTAAAAGAATGATCCAGTGAAGCAAAGCAGCTACTTTATAAGAGTGCACCTGATTATCATGAGAATGTTTAGCTTTATTCTGTGTAATAATCAGTTGCACACTGACTGCTTTGATTGCAGACAAACCAGAGAGTGACTGTGCATGTGAACAACGAGCAGAGCAGGAACTGCTGCAGTAGCAGAGGCATGACAGTGTTTGCTGTAGAAGTGCCAGCCAGGACTAAAATGGTAAGTAGGCATGGTAACAATGCTGCTTTGCTAATATTATAATGAATTTATAATCATTATTATTTTATTAGAAGAAAAAAGACACTTTAACATTTAAGTTATTCACTCCATGTAAAAAGCATGATGCAGGATATTGATGATTTCCTGTAGGTGTGCCAACATGTTCTACCCATCAATGAAAAACAGGACTGGATCTACAGCTGTGTGGAGACCATACTACCCGGAATGTAAAGTCCAGCCTGAATGGACAGCTCTTTATATTCTGGCTAAAATGTATTCGTCAAGGTTTTAAATGTGGGCACTAAAGAGCGATTTGTTCTATATCCACTGGCATTATATCATGAATGTGAATTATTATAAGTTGTTCTAGCTCTGCTTTAATGATTATGTGTATTTTTTTACTGTGAGAAATGGCTGAGCGCCTAATCATTTCAGCTGTCTGACTTGTTGCCTGGCCTGTAATGTTGAATTTGTAGGTAGTCGATGAGTTTTGTGTAACCTCTGGTTATAATGGAGACAGTTAACAATTTTCCTGCTGTTTTAAGTTGTTTTCTTTTTCCTTCTGTTGTTTTATTATTATTGTTATTATCTTTATTATTTCTCTTTGTTGAATTTGTCTTTGTTACTTTGTTATTACTGTGATACATGGAATCAAGGATTGAAGATTATGGGTTTAATTTCTAACATTTAGAAAATCATGTCATTATTATCATGTCACAATAGAGTGTTATGTCATTATTAGGGGTAAGACAACACTTTCTTATGTTCATTTTTTTTATCACTCTTGTCATGTAACGGTGGATTTTACTTATGTTATATTGCTGAATGTCATTACCATCTTGTTTCGACAGAACAGATAAGAAAATTAAAGGAAAAGAACAAAAGTCCTTCTGTTCACATAAATGTGTTTGAAAATTAGTAATACTAATTATTTGAAAAAAAATCTCTACAGCAATATTGAAAATTCCCGTCAAGGATTCATTAAATTTGACATTAGAGAATTATCAGCAAGTTTTCCATAAACACAGGAATGTCATTCTGGCTCCAACATTGTCTCCTGGAATTAGAGACACTTGTAAGTACATGTTTAGCTGATTGTGGCCATCACTGAAGTCATTAATTTTGTTACATATTCTTGCAGTTCAAGAATATTTATAAAGAATCAGAATGATTTTAGGCACAGATAACAGTTGTGAAAAGCAGATTTTCAATTCCAATTGTGAAGAAGACAAAAACTGATCCTAGTTCACACTGAACTGCAGCAGTTTAAATGCTGTGGATGTTTGTTGAATGTAACCAAGAATTGTGCCTTAACTTTCATTCAAGCTTTGCAGACTATACAACCGTGCAGCTATTCATCCATACTCTTTACAGGGTATGGAGGGGTTGGGGATTTGGGGGTTGGCAGTGAAATGCATTCCTTTGCATTGCACTCAGGTCTAAGCTTTATTTGCCCTTGGCCTTTCTAGTCGAGTACAGTGTTGACCTTCTATTTATAGCTCTCAGGCCATTATTTGACCTTTGACTTTCTCTACTGAAACAGTAGAGCCAGCTCACTAAATGTCACATGACATGTGAGATGCATTTAATGTTTCAGGCCCCTGTCTGCTCTTCTTTTCCCAACATAGGGGTTTGGTGTCATTCAGCTGCTTGCAGTTGGACAGTGGCTTTGCCAAACGACTTCTCCATTATGTGTGTGTTTTACAAGAGATTTAGTTTCTTTTTTTTGTGTGTTGCTAGTTACAATAATGGAAATCCTTCACTTGCATGCAATCTGTGTGATTTGTGGGTTGCAAACTCTTTAGCAATTGTTTTTGTAACAGTCTGATTAACATCATTAATTCTTTTTCCTCACATACTTTTGTTCATCCCTTGATACACTTCAAGAAAAATTTCTTGTGAAGAACAGATCCCTGTTCTTTAAAACCAGGAACCCACTCACACATTGATATTTACTGCTAATCCCAGAAGTTCATATTTCTTGTAATACTGGTTTGTTTTTCTCAATGAAATTAATTGAGTTCAAATTTGTGTTCTAATGTTATAGTCTGAAACTTTTTTTCCCTGCAACTGTTAATATGCATATTATAAATGTATATCGTAGTGTACAAAAGTGTTACCGCTCTTTTTTTTTATATATAGCATTAGTCAATGCTGTTCATGTCCGTTAACACGGACGTGAACAGTTTACGTATAAGAAGGTACCTAACTCAAGAGATGACCCATTGTTGTGTTTGCACATAACAGACAACACAGCAAAAAACTAGCAGCTTGTTGGAAAAATCCAATTTGTTCCATTTTTGTTTTGTTGAGTCTATGAAAAATCCCAATAATAAAACAGTTTGACAGGCTTTAAATAGTATGTATGCACCAACAATATAATTCTGAAATAGCTAATTGTTGAAAACTTGGAATATCTCAGCATGGTGTGCAATGTCCTTAAAGGAAATTTGGCAAGTGGAGGACAAAAGAAGATATGTCAGTCCTGAAAAAACAGACTACAGCAGATGAACAGTATCTGAAAGTCATATTTTTAAGAAATGGGGGGAAAAAATCCAGACACAGCACCAGAGAAATGATTAACCTTCAGTTGATCCATCTACTGTTCACTGAAGCCTCATCAGAATTGGTCTCAGTAACCAATGGAAATGGGGAGAAAAGGCTGAGGTATGCCAAATTACACAAGAAAAGGACTGAAAATCAGTGGCAACAGGTATGACTGAGCAATTAATCCAAGTCTGAGATTTGTAGTTCAAATCATCATCAGTATTTACAGAAAAGATCAGGAGAGAGGTGCAGCAGTGAGCCCACAGCCATATGCAAAACATATGGAGCCTCTGTTTTTGTAGTCTGATCCCAAACACAGTTCAGTGAAAGCATACCTAGATAGAAGAAGACACAATGGAATACTATCAGTCATGGAATGGCCTCCACATAGACTGGACCTCAACATTATTGTAGCAGTGCTGTATTTATGTTTACATTTGCACATGTTTCTATAAATTGTTGCACCTATTTTCCATTTCTCAGCACAATATGAAGAATTTGCACAGTACTTCTGTACTTAAGGACAACCTTCTGTTTTGACAGATCTGATGGTAAACTTTGTTCTACTTATGTTGATCAAACACTGTGAAGCAAAAGGCAAACAGCAATGGGTCGAAACTGGCTATGTCGCAAACGTTACCCTGCAAATAATCATACATCTTTTTCTATGAGTATTGCAGGTGTAACTTCGTTCCCACACAATAGAAACTGCTTGTTTCATACAGTGGATGAACTGTAGGGAAGATTTGTATTCTCACTCAGTGTTTAAATTTGACCACTTTAAACCACCGAAAATGATCACTTTACGAATAAAGAGTCTACCATAATTCTGTATTCAATAATGTTATAAAAATGTATGTATAACACTATTTCTATCTTTTAAAAAATGCAAATATTATTGTTTTTGGTGTTAGTGGCTAATACATCTCAGACACTAAGGGGATGGATGAGATTTCAATAAATCAGACCATTGATCAAAAAGCTGGGTGTGTGACTTTTAAAAATATAGTGCAAATAAAACAACACAAATAACATATTTTTGTATTATTTAATATCCAACATGAGCTCCTGAGTTGTGATTAGAGCGTTTCATCAGTAACTTTATCTTAATGTTGGTGGGGGGCGTATCCCTACGGTTTCTAGAATTTTGCCTAAAGCACTGTGGACATTTTCCCACATATTGCAGTTATAAAAATTCATTTTTAAGCAATATCCAAGAATTTTGACTTTTCTACCTTTCTGTTTGCGCTGTTGTTGAGACTGAAGAACTCTTCCTTGATCCCTCCTTTCTCTTTAAACCGGGAGGGCGGGTGTTTGAAGGGGGGAGTTGCCCGGTGTGTACGTGTGGCTGCTCCGACACTGCAGTCGCCTGCTTGTCGGACCGGACTGCGGATTACACAGGGGTGACCATTGGTGCTCGCTGGGGGTCAAAAATGGTGAAAATTACGACAGTGAAGACCAAGCCGTACACGGACCAGAAGCCCGGGACTAGCGGTCTGAGGAAGAGGGTGACGGTGTTTCAGCAGAACCAGCACTATGCGGAAAACTTCATCCAGAGCATTATCTCTGTCATCGAGCCTGCCGAGCGCCAGACGGCCACTCTGGTGGTGGGAGGGGATGGCAGGTTTTTCATGAAAGACGCTATTCAGCTGATCGTCCAGATTTCAGCTGCCAACGGGGTCAGTAGCAGAACGACATGTTGTTCACCTTTGCTGTCCTTGCTGTATGTGTGCGTCTAGCTCACTGAGTCTGTTCCTATAGAATAGCTTGTAAGCTAGCAGGCTCACATCAAGCTAGCTGTCAAGTATATCAGATGTATTCCTAAATAACTAGTCTGTTGATTAGTTTGACATTACTTGGTTAGTTTAAAAATTAAAAGTTTGCTACATAGAAAGCTAGAGTAACTTAAGTAGCTTAATGCTAACCGAGAGAACGACCAAATGCTCAAAATATTTACTGTCAGGTCATGTATTTTTAACTTGCTAGCATAAATATACGTATTTAAACATGGGTTACGTTCTGCATATTAAAATGTTGCGAGAGGTGCTGTTCAGTTCTATATTAAATGGGTTCATGTAAAGTTATGCAATACTTTAAAGTCAATGACTACAGTTGGGGTGGCTAATCAGCTGCTCTTACAAGCTCTCTTAACCACGAGAGACAGCGCTGAATCCTGAATGACATTCCTGCCTGTATCTGCGCCTTGATATTGGCCCCAGTTCATTCAAACTGTGTTTATGGAAAACTACTTGACTGTTCCATAAGGTCCAAAGCAGTCAGTGAACCTTTGGCACGTATCGCCATCCCCCCTCTGGATTTCCATGCGCTGTCTCCGGTAGCCTGCTTGACCGTGGTGATCTTTTGGATAAAGTGCACGAAGGAGGTCGCTTGCATGTCAGACCCTTACCTCTGACATTTACACCCTGACTCGGCGTTTTTCAATCATTGGATATTTTTTTAGGCTCTTGGTCCGTCTTGCCCAACTCTCTAAAAGGGAACAAAACGGGTTTAGATGTTGGGAAAGAAGGCACGATAAGCCAACGTTGTGATGTTTCATTGAATGTGTGGTTACTGGCTGATGTTACTCAAACGATTTTAGGCCATCGGGGGGCGTGGTCTGCAGCCGGTCACGTTGCTCTGCATATGTCTTGTGCATAAATGAGAGATGCACAGTGAGAATGCATCAACATAATATTATCAAACCCTATTACCTTCTTATTTATTTGCAAGGTAACCTCCTCACTCTCTGAGAGGACATATTCATTGTAGTCTAGCCTCGATCTGTGCTTCCTTCTCATTAGATGGCCTCTGTCCTTCTTGTAGCTAATGCAAAGAAGCATTGCTAAATGGAGGGTTCATCTAATGAAAGTAGGTGTAAGTTGCACAAAGATGGCAAATCTTGGTTGGCATTTCTAATTTTGGGTCTATATTAGGAAATCTGGGTGAAATTGTATCATAAGTTACAGAGAGATGCACTACTGCCCGTGTGATTGCACAAAGC